GCTTAACTATTTTTTTTAATTTTATTTTTTTTTATATTTTATTTAAATTGTATTATGTTAGATTATAATCAGTATATTTACTATCAATAAAGCATGTATTGAGAAATCAATGCATGTATAATAAAAACAAGCCCAACGATAATAGGGTGGGTGTAATAAAAAAGAAAAATAGGAAAGTGATAAATGTTGCGGGCTGATTAAAGTAAAAAAAAAAAATAAAAAAGGAAATACTTTAATCGGTGTTGTATCAGATGTGCATACAAAATGACTCCTTTTCATGACACTGGTGTGCATGCGTGTGTGCGCGCGCGCGTGTGTGTGTATAGGGGGTGAATGAGTATGTACTACTAGTGTAGCGCGTGGATAGGTTTTTTTTGTATAAACGTGAATCTTAGTAAGAAGATATATAAAAATCTGCATTTTATAAGGACAACAGCATGCATGTGTTGTAATAATGAGAATGCTGATTGAGCCATTCATGAGAATAATCAGAGAAAAAAAGTTAATCATAGAAAGGAGTGATTTGAATGTGTATATATATATCCGACTTATATATATATATATATATATATATATATATATATATGTATATATATACATACATATATAATCTCATGATGTAAAAATTTACTATAAACAGAACTTTTAACATATATTTGAACTGGATTACAAAAAAGAATTAAAAAAAATAAGTAAGAGGGAGAGAAAAGGAAGGGATATAAAATTAAAAAAAAATATAAGAAGATTGGACTTAGTGATGTATTCATTTTTATGAAATTTTTATTGAAACATTAACTGTGCATTGAATGGATCATTAAAATATCAAGATAGAAATAAGCGTACCTAAAATCCTTTACAAGATGGTTTAAATTATTCTGTAGAATATACAGACATAGCTACACCGAGGAAGGTCAATTTATTTTTTGCTTTCTACTACAAAAGAATTTGCAGAAATAAAAAAGAAAAAAAAATTTTATAGCTACAGATATGAAAAAAAAATCAGAAACTTAATAAAGTATAAGGAGCAGCGCAAACAGTTTGTTAAGTACAATAGATCAATAATAATATACTTTCTAATATTATATATAATATCTATTTAGCTATAACAGTGAAAAATGTTAACACATAAGTACCTGGCACACTGGTCTATGCTCTCTTTTAACCAGCTTATTAGGAAGTTCATGTCTTAGAATGCGTGGCAATGTGTGCTACACATACAAGAAGGTTAACTAGAGAGTTAAGATACATATAAATATATTAGCCAATTAAAATGTGTACAACACGAAACTAATTTGTATTTTACTAGTTTAAGAACACTTTACTTATATTTTGGCGTATAGCTGAGATTAGTACACCATTTTAAGAGTATTCTAATCTAAGCATTAGATGTATCTTAGAATTATGACATTGAATACGCGCTTCTGTATATATTTTTAAAAGATAAAAAACACAGAATTGAGAAATAATTACGAAAATGAAACAGTGTAATCAAAGAGAATATTTGATATGCTTTAGACAAGTGCAAAGAATGTCATTGAAACAAACAAACAAACAACAAAAAAGAAACAAAGTTATATTATTTTCATCGCATTATCAAAACTTCTCTTTTTAACCTTCATGTACTTGCATAATGTGTTATCATTCTTGTTAGCTTTTGTTGTCAATTCATAAAAGAGAATAATGTGTGTAAAGACTGCTAAATTATAATTATCTATTATTTGAAGATACATGAAAAGAAAAGAATGATATAAAGAAAAGTAAAAAAAAAAAACGGAAAAAATGAAGAAAATAACGAATTAAATAAAATAGGCTCAGATTTTATTGATTACCTATGAATAAAAAAAAAAAAAAAAAAAAAAATAGGTATTTTTGTGATTTTTTTCATTCTCATTTTAAAAAACGAAAAAGAAAAAAGAAGAAGAAAACAATCCTTATGTGACTACTGTTCGGTACACTCTTTCTACATATCTAATTCAATCTGAGCAGGTTTCAGAAATGCAAAATAGTTACGTCAATTGTAAATTTATTTAACCCTAGGACTATCCAGGCATACTATCATTAATAAATATCATGCGCGTATTAAAAAGCGATTAATTGTATAACGTAGAGTGCAATTTGTAATTTGCTCTAAAGGTGTGCAACCATTTTTGTGGTACACGATACGTGTATTTGTACAGAATATCTCAACAATTTTATATATATATGCTGGAATTGAATGCAACTTTTTTTATTCACTGTTTCGCAATAAATATATAAAACAATGATATTGTTCTTTTTTTACTTTATAGGAAGGAATAAAAAAAGAAAGAAAGAGATGCTCGAATGAAATTAGCAAAATAAAAATAATTATAATAATAATCATTACTTAATATATACATTTCGTTTTAATATTTCACACGACGACTGACTGCTAAAATTAAGACTAATAATCATCACGTATTTGTTGTGTGCAAATAATCAACGATTCAATGATTATATATAATCAAGATATTATTATTTATAGAATATGTGAATTAAATACTTCAGTATTTTTTGATATTTTTTGTCGAGTTATAATTTTAACGAGTACGTATAACCATTTGATATTTATTTTGTTGTTGTTCATATATGTCGTATTGAACAGTATTTATTTCGATTAAATTTTTACTGTAAATCTTGTAAGAAAAAGAAGAAAAGAAACAACAAAGAATCATATCTGTTGATACAGAATTGTCATTATCATTTACAAGATTTTTTCAAATATTCAATACGTTTGTATTCTAATTTGTCCTAGGGTTAAATCAGAGAATTAGTCAGTTAAAGCCATTAGTAAATGTAAATAATAATTCAAAATTTCTAATAACAATTTTTCTGGTACAGAACGTAGTAACTAAGGGTAAGAGAAGAAATTCATTCATTTTCAATTAATGTGTGCATATTATTCAATGAAACAAGAAGACAACTTGTGGAACAATGCAGACTTGAAATATGTGTAAAAGTATATATAAACGCAAACCTATATCACACTGATTGTCCATACATAATTCATATTTCGAAATCACTATTTTAGTTGATTTAAAGAAGATACAAAAGAAAAAAGAAAGAAAGAAAGAGAGAAAAAAAAGAAGAATAAACCCAAACAAAAGAAAAAAATTCTCTACGTTATTTACGTAAATTATATAAGACTAAATCATTTTGTATTTTATAATACACCCGATTCTCAATCTTCCTATCATTACTGAATACTGCAAACCTATTAAATATTATTAAATCGTATTGTTACTGTAATACGACATTTATGATAATCACCATTCTCATCTTAGTATAAAATTTAACAAGAAAAAAAGAAAAAAAATCGAACTCTATATTTCAGAAATGATAATAAAATGTGATTTGCCATGCATATGCTCTCTCTCTCATAATTTTTTAACTATTAATATTATCTCAAGGAAGAGGGGAATGTATATATTTTGCACGAAAATTTAATTTTTTTTATTTAATTATTTTATGAAACAGCAAAGCTAGTAATGTTTACTTTTGTATTAAAAGAAACAGAGAAACAATTTTTTACAAATCACGTATTCACTGTAATTCGGTCATTAATTAAGATTTAAGTATTTGTAAGTTTCAATGTTTTTTTTTTTATTTTGTTTTTATTTTATATAAGTATAAGCGTATTTCTTTTTCTTTTCGTCTAATCGATTATTCAATAAAATGACTGTGCAACGAACTTCGTTATTTACAAAAATTTCTTTATTTCTTGCAATGTATTCATTTTTGATAAAAAGAACTATTTATTCGAGAAATTTACAAATTTATAATAAATTGATGATTGATTGATTAATATGTCACATTGATCTTACCTTTTCATAGTAGATCTCCGTTTCAATTGTTTAAATTAATTAATCTCGACTCGTTTAACTTTTATTATGTATTTGTATTAATAAGTAATAAAATCATGGATTGATCATGAATCTTATTAAAAACTTAATACACTAAATCCCGCTTGATTTTTGGATGAAAATATTAACTAATTTTTCGAGCGTAAAATAAGAAAAATGTTTAACAATGTTAATAAATTTGAATTTTGGCGCCATCTCTTGTTATTCAAGTGATCTTCGTAGTAATATTTTTTGAAATTAAAGAATACAAAAATCGCGGCGAAAATACGTCAATTCCTTGACCTGGATTCGTAAAATCGTGTTAGTGTCCATTTCTAAAAGAATTTAATAAATAAGAAAGAATATGATTGAACATTTGAGTAGATTTATGGAAAAATGAATGAATATATATATATATATATATATCGACAAGAGATAATGAATAAAATAGGGGGTGAAGATTTGTAGAACCTTCCTTCCTTGTCGTACAACAATGTGTGTACAGTGTGAATGAGGCGAATAAAATAAAATAAAAATTAATTATGATTCCTTTAATCAAGTACATTTTCTTTAAAAGAATTGTATTATTATCGGTGTATAAAAATGATGATGAAGTTAATTATTATTTAATACGATTGATGTGAAATTAACAATTTTTCATATGACTATAATCTTATAATTAGAATTTTAATCATAAAGTAATAAAATTGGCTATATTATAAGAGACGATTTTAATGCTCGACTAAAGTGGCTATAAATAATACGTGCAATGCACAAAAATGTGGATTATTCTTGGAACAGAATTGATGTTATCTCGGAGGTAGCATTCGTTGAGAGAACTGTTACAGGCAAGCTTAAGTGGTACATTATTACAATGCATAATGTACAAATAAATAATATCGTTTAGCCTTATTCTAAATGGATTGTAAATGTTTGTGTTCTACAACACACATATCTGAGATTTGATTCTACGGTATTTATATTATATAATATGTAATTATCTAATACTCGTTGCAAATTCAGAATTTTTATTATGAAGCAAAGAAATATTTGCTTATGATAAATTGTATAATTTAATGTTAAAAAAAGATTTGATAAAATTATACCTATGGGTGTCTCAAAGATGCTTAAACGTTTGTTATATACAAATTTTGTACTATGTGGTTCGAAGGCCATAGGAATTTTGGCACCTTTAACGATACCTCCCTTACACATAGCTTTTTTATATTATTTTTGGCAAGAGTACACCCGTGATGTTGACAAACAATATTGTTCATGTTCGTGCTGGGATACAGTGTTTAAAGGTAAGATGCTATCTGTGATTATTGTCTTTTATACTCTATAATCAAATTTTATTATAGGATCATATGAATCAGGAATTGCCTCTTATAAGCATATGTACTTTAATGCTACTATGAATAGTTTAAAAATATGGATTACCATAGTTATTGGCGTTGTTACTTTCTATGAAACAGTTAAGTACTTGATATGGTTGGCGTTTCAACAGCGCCTCAGACTTAGTATGATGTTACTTTTTTCAACCGCTATTTTCTCACATTATTACTCATGGTGGGTGTATATTAATTATTGGAACGACGATTTCTACTCTCAGTGGTATCATCAACTATTTTTTTCTATCACTGAGTTGATATCAACCTTTCTGGTTGTTCACTTGGCAGACAAAAAACATCTTATAACTCATAGAAAAGCTTTTGGAATAATTGCCATTGCAATTTTGCATATTGTAGCAGGTGGTTGGGATCAGTTCGTTGCCAATGTTGTAAGAGGAGAAGGATATGCACACCAGGTAAATCAATACGTTTTTTTTTAAATATATACACTTAGATTTGGTAGATGTCTATACATAGTACAATACTAAAGGAAACTCGCATTATCGATGTGGGCATTTCATATCCATGATATATAATTGGAATAGGTTGTACGAGATTTGGGATTTATGATCCCCGATATTCTTCATGTTGCTGTTCCTCTGTGGTCCATGCAGTGGAAGAATGCTTATAATCTTCCAGGATCTAGTACACGAGATCCTAGCATTAGAAGAGATCTTGCTTATATGTTAGGCATGATATTAATAGGACTGTGTGTTTGTGCCATTTTATAACATGGTAAATCAAACTTCAAAACGTGGTAGTGTCCTCAAAGTTAGGAAGAATATCTTCATTGTTTCTATGTTTCTATTGCTTTTTGAAAAAGAGCTTTTCAAAAATCTCATAACTTTAATATTTAATGTCTCGATTGAAAGTAATGATACTCATTGTGAACACTTATCAAGTAGCGATCAAAAAATAATACTATTATTTATTTCATTAAAAATATCATATTTTTGATGTTTGACTGAAATCTTACAACGTAGTTTAAATAGCGTATTTCTAGGGTATATAGAAGAAACATCCAAAGATTTTAAATCAAAATCATTTGAAATATTTTTTTTACCTCAATAGTACAAATAGCTACATTTATTTATTCCCTTTCTAAGTAGAATATATTAGATAAACGCTTTCTAGTTTAGTATTCGTAGGAATGTAAGTGACACAACTTGTGACTTCCATAGATTGCGTTTGTACCCTATTAGCACAATCATATCATGTATATAGAATTTTTCTAATTTAAAAATGTAGTTTGAATATTTAACAACCAAGAAACATAAAAAACAAAAAAAAAACATTTCTTAACTAATTATTATATTAATCTTTTAACTTTTTTGGAATATAAAAGATAATTTTTCAAATGGCTATAAAAGTAGTTTAAACGGATATAATACGATAAATATGATTTTGTTAAAAAAATATCTTAGCTTTTAGAGATACTACAAGAATTTCCCTCATATCGTTAATATTTTTATAATATTTCGTCCCTCTTTTCATTATCTTAAACAATAGTTATATATTAAAACTTGGCAGTCTGTTATTTTGTAGATGGATCTAGAATGAACAGTGAAATCGTTTGTAAACCTATGAATGTATTTATTGCACGATAAGTGTGGCTATACTTATAGTAATTAGTATATATCATCATAATTTTGAAAAAGGACAAAAGAGTCAATTGAAAAAATGATATCAAGGGATAACATATCATTGTGTATCCATTTAATATGCTCTCTGTTGAAGATAAGAAAATAGAGTTAATATCAAAGTGAACATGGTATAATTGATATTATATTGAAAATGATATTTGGTAAAGGAGGCTTAATATTTGAAGTGCCTAACAACGCTGCGCAGTAACTATATCAGTTACTGTTACTCATTGTCTGTATATCGAGTGCCAGAATGATATTGTAAGATTGTCTCATATATAAGTGCCAAGGCAACAATGAAATGAAATAATATAATGAAACAAACGTGAAGTAAAGAAAAAAACAAAAAAAAGAAAGAAAATTTTTTTAATAAGAAAATATGCAAGAAAATTATAAATCGTACATTTTATCATAAATAATAAGATTCATACAGATAAATTACTTTTTCATTAATTTGCTATTTTTTTGCATATTAAACAAAAAAATTAATTAAACATTTAATGCGTTACATTCATTTACAATTATAATTATAATTATAATTATTTCGATTAAAATTAGTAAAGTTTCATTTTTTCGATAATGTTTTATTTATTTATAGATATTGTATTATTATATTATAATATTATTTACAAACAATTGTACGTGATATTTAATTGACAAATTTGAATATATATGTAAAAAGTATATAATATTATTGACACTGAGAGATAAACGAAATGAATATTCTAATGTTGTTATTGTAATTGTTATTGAAATAGAATCTTATAAAAAAAATATCTTGTAGCATATATAGGTAATAAACACATTTCGATAGAAAGGCCTAAAACATTTCAATGAAAGATGATGATTAAAAAAGATAGTGAGTGTTTAAGAAAAAGAAAACAATAATAAATT